CCAATTCTCGTCCCTGCACAACACCCCGCAATGCCTACACCAATCCCAGTCCCTGCACAACAATGCACAACAGCTACACCATTCCCTGTCCCTGCCCAACACAACACAACAAGGTGTACACCGATCCCCGTCCTTCCACAACTCCCCGCAACAACGTCTACACCAACCCCGTCTCTCTGGTTTACCTTCGGCGCTTCCGAGGATCATTCTCATCCCGAGAATCTGAGCCGCCAGGATTCCCACTGTGATGAACAGCTGCGGCATCACCCCGATGGCTCCTCGGAGGTTTTTGGGGGACATCTCTCCAAGGTACATGGGGACAACGTTGGAAGAAAGGCCTAACGTGGAAAACAAGAACAGATTCAGGATAGTATTGGGGTAAACAACCCTCACTGCCCCACTAAAGGATGGTTTTCTTGACAACAACATTGTGTGTTTCACTGGTCAAGGATGATTCCTTGATTTCTCTACCCTTTGGCTGAAAATATATAAATATATATCTTCATCTTCTATATATTCATCTTCCTCTTCTATATCCCCAACCTCTAACTCATTGTATCTCAACTTTGAAGACTGGTGGACTTCAACTCCCAGAATTCCCCACTCCCCGCCTCTTTTTAACACAAAGACGGAAAATGGCCTCTAAGATGGACGAGGTGTTAGTGCCAAGGTCTCACCTGCGCAGATGCCAATAACAATGCGGCAAATGATGATCACTTCGAAGGTCTTGGCTACCTTGGAGATCCCCATGAGGATGGCGGGGACGATGGAGAAGAGGTTGTTGATGAGGAGGGTGCCCTTTCTGGAAAGGAGGAGAACATCTCAAGAGCTTCAGAAGATTCAACCTGGAGCTCTAAAGGATGAAGGTCTGTCCCTCAACCTTCTTCCTCTTTAAACAAGACCCTTCCGTGGCCCACAGAAGACCATCCCAGGAGGTCCTCTTTGCTTGGACATCCAACCACACCCAGGAGGAAAGCCAAGCCAGATGTTTCTCCTGGCACTGGGAATGTCTTCCATCTCCCAGGCCAGCAGGAACCTCACACCCGGCCCAGGATGCGAATTGTGAAAACAAAGAAGGAAACCTACCTGCCACAGTTGTTCACCATGGGCCCCACCATTAGTGATCCAAAGAAACCCCCAAGTGGGAAGAAGGACACACTCAGAGACCAGAGGGCAGTCATCAAGCTCTCGTCCATATATTTACTGTACCGTCCCTGGTACGTTTCATTGTAAAATTGTTGCATGAACTGGAAAAAGAATGGATGGAAGAAAGGACCAATTAGAGGAGGATCAAGAAGTATCCCAATTTGTGATAGCGGGGGCTCCCAATGGGTTAGATACCCATTATCCTCACCCAGCAAAATTTTGAGGGTTGCAGTACAAAGTACCTTAGTAGGCCCAAATGGTTTTAAGCAATATTAAGAGTTTATCATTTCGGCTTAAACAAGTCCCCACTCACAGGTACTTCTTTCTGTTAGAAAATTCTGTTTTATATAAAGCACCACAGAGCAAATAAAGAGCACCGTCACCATGTACTTTACTGCTCAACTGTATGACTGTAACAGGAAACTCTACTAAAGAAACCATAGATTATAACCACAGATGCACACTAAACGCTGCCATCTGCTGGCCGAGTAGTCATTGCAGTACAAAATACATTCTAACACATATTAAAAACACTTTCTAAATGTGTGTTTCTCAATTTCGACCACTTTTAAGAGATGTGGGCTCACATCTTTAAAAAGAGGCCAAGGGGTTGAGAAACACCGCTCCCTTTTTCTTAAGCCAAACTGAAAAAATATAAACACTGTCGGCCATTTGGGCATCTCTACCTTCTTTGAAAATTATACACCGCCAATAAATGCCTCCCTCCCCCCAAATGGATTAAATAACCCCCAATGTACCGGTGCTGGAGAATTGATCACAGAGACATTATATCCATACTGGAAGGATGATCCGAAGGCTGCGATGAGGGTCACTAGAGCAAGCATCACAGTCATTTTCTGCAAAAACAAAAAACAACAAAAACCAAGCGATGCAGAGACGGTATTCCTGAACCGACAGAGATAAGCTAAGATGACTGAATTACTTTTCAAAAAAAATCCTTCTTAACTGACCCTGCTAGCTAGCTAGCTGACTAGGTTGAATACCTGTGTCTTCCCGTCTGCAAAAATGGGAAAGTAACTTACAAGAATTAACTTAGAGCATCCTCTTAACCAGCTAAGCTGTGCAAATATTTGGAGCATTTAGCACATACAGAGGAGTGGGGTGGGACCTCAAATCTGAATGGACCCTGATTTGTTTTTTCTTGTTTTGCTTCTTCTTTTTCCCCTCCAGCCTTATCTTCTTGAGATAAGGACAGGTTGATCCAGTTGCTGATTAAGGAGGAAAGAAATGGGTATATTTTTGTCCTGAATTAGGCAGAAGAAGGCAGAGGAGAAGAAATAACCATGAAAAAGACTTTGCATATCAGTGATAAACATGCCCTGGCATATTTGCAAACTGTGTGGATGTTCATTGCTCCCATGGAAAACTCTCTGTCCCGAATAATGGACAAGAAGAATTCTACAAAAAACTCCACAAGATATTTGAAATAGAATATGAAATATGAATTATATATAATTTTTCTATTTTATCCAGAAAAAATGGGGAAAATTCCTTTTTTTCCCATGCTAAACTTTGATAAGGATTAGAGATTTATATCTCTATTTAATATTTCTCTCTCCCTCTCTCATATATATGTCTCCCAACCTCAAAACAAAAATCCATACTCACCCCCTTCTGGGGCGGTCTCTGTGGCACGGGCTGTGGCATTTTCACGCTTTCCTGCTCTCTGTGGACCTAAAAGAGGGGAATGGAGAAAGGAAGAAAAATAACAATACACTCCAAGGACAAGGTTATAAATGCCTGCAATTAAATGCCCCTGAACAAGGATAAGTTGGTGACGCATAGCAATTTATTTTACAACTTTGCTCCTGGATAAAATGGATACTTTGACAACTTCTTACAAAACTTTTCCCCACTCCTTCTAGTTCAAAGCATAAGATGGTTGTAGGGATGGAAGAGGAAGAAATGGGTTCAAATCATGCTTTTGGCCCAGTGGGGGGGGAGAGAAAAAAGGGAAAAAATCATTTGTTTCATTTCCCCAAATCTCTTTGCCGTACTTCAAAAATTCTTTTAAGAGGTTTGGACTTCAACTCCCAGAATTCCCCAGCCCTCTAGGAAATTCTGGGAATTGAACATCCTAAAATGCCCAAGGCTGAGAAACACTGCCCTATATACAAATGCCTTATTGGAATTGTAGTAGGGGGCATCATGAGAAAAAAATGGATTGTAAATCACATATTTCCTCTCTCTCTCTCTCTCCTCCTTTTCCAACCCCGGAGAAGTTTTTAAAAGTAGGTTTTAAAAGTTAGGCAGAAAGTTTAACAAGCAGAATAAGGGAGAAAAATAATAATAAGGATAATTGTTTTATTTAATGCCATCCAGATTAGAAACAGCAAATTCCAGGTTTTGGAGACCAGAATACCTCACTACCCTAGATAAGAAGCAGGAGGCTGAGTTTGGGGAAAATATTTTTTTTATTAAAAGTTGCTATTTCTAAAAAAATATATGAGCATTTTGAAGGTTGATTATGTCCAGCAATTGTCTATGCTACATCAATCCTATTAAAAAAACAACAGTGGCTGATAGGAGTTGTAGTCCTCAAGGCTTCTATCACAGAAAACCACTTCCAATTTCTTAGTGTGCTTTCCAACACATCAAGAACAGGGAAAAACACACACACACACTCAACACCCAGCTAAAATCCTAAACCATCACACACAAAAGGAGATTCTCTTTTCGGATATATAAATCAACCTAGCTAGCTAAGAATCAAACTGAAGTTAGGAAAATAAGTTTGCATGAAAAGCCGCTGTCCTCACAAAGCCAGGGGAAAATAATGGCACCAAGGCCGTTCATTTCCCCTGTAGTGGAATTTTTACAACAAAAGGATGAGCTAAGCCTCCAGGGAAAAGGAGCTAGCCAGGAGCCAATTCCAGC